TGGTTGACAAGGAATATGTTGGTCACTRTACAGTGGGTGGGGAGATCAGCAAATACYTTGTCAGATRTGTTAGCTAAGCAAGGGGTAAATAGGGAAGAATTATTTTGGGCTCAGTTGTGATTCTTGTTTTTCTTTCCTAGTTTACTTGTAAGGTTCAAGGAGGGGCTGCAGCTTGTGCCTCTCGCTGGGATGTTGTATGAACTCACTCTAAATTTGCTTCTGATTTAATAAATTTATTATCATTCATTGAAAAATTAAATTAGTAGGAGAGGAAGATGCTTGGGCAAAACTAGAAGAAGATTTCCTACGTTTTCTGCATCCTATTCATTTAGAAACCAGAAGTTTTTGGTTGTAATGGAGAAAGAGGCCTTGGCAAAAAAATCTTGTTTTAACAGCAATCCAAGTTATTAAAGATTGGGTGAGAATTTTGGAAGCACTTGTGGATATATTTAAGCTTTTGGATTCTATCAGTCTCAAGCCTTTCAATGTTAGGAAGACTGTGGAGAGGTTGGAAACGGTAGATGGTCTGGTGAGGGTGGAGGTGTGGCATTAGTCCTACAACCAAAAAGCTTTCTTGGATAGAAGCTTTGAGCCTTTGATCTTCATCTGGTGGGGCTTCCTTTCAACCTTCGGAACGAAAGCACTTTTGAGAGATTGGTACAGACGTTGGGGAGAGTTCTTGTTGCTTTTAATCTTAATGATTTCCATGCTGTGAGACTTAGGATTGCTGGAATAAAACAGGAAGGGAGAACATGTGGAGGAGAGAGATTGGAGAAAGGTAAAACTGTGAAGGGTTGAGGTCTTAGGGAAGATGAAACAGGTTGAACAAGTGAAGATGGGGAGATAAAACTTTCGCAGAGAGTGTAAAGATGGGTGCCTTTTCAAATGAAAGTTGGGGACCATAGGCAATAAAGTCGCAACAGATATTTATTACAGTTGAACCAGGCGAAGGGAGTAAAAACCAGGAGGTTGAACCAGGGATAGAGCTCGGACGAATGGGATGGATGGAGTTTCTTTGAGGCTTGGGATGGATTTTCCATCTTCTGAGGCTTGCAGTTCTGCCTTTGGGGCGGAGAACGATAATGGGAGGGGGGGGAAGGAGAGGAAGAAGAACATGACTCATCCTAATGCAGTGAAGAGGTTTAAGCACTAAAATGAAAACCAAAATGTGAGTCTCAAAGATTTTTCCTAGACTAAGGGGTGATCTTTTGGAGTTGGCATAAATAAAAGGGTGTGAGTTTCTGCTGTTGGCAAGGGTTTTGGTTTGGGTGCCTGATTGTTTGGTTTTTGGAAAGAGGGGAGATAAGCTATTGGTAGGGGTTCTGGCTTTGATTCGGGTCTGTTTGTGGCAGGTTTTTTCATTTTGTTTTAGGGCTTCTCTGGAAGTTGGGTTGGGTTGGTTGTGTTGGGTTTTGGGTGATGCTTTGTCACCTGCTGTATTATCTGCTGGTTGTTTTCTAATAAATTTTCTCCTTTATTTATCTTCAAGAAGAAATTATGATGGCTGTAGCCTGATTATTCCTGGACATTTTGTCACAGGTGAAGTGTTTTAAATTGAGCATGAGGCCATGTTTGCTATACACTAGGGTCTAGTTGGTATGGGGATCCTGCAAGAGCTGAAAACATGGGTGATCATGGGTCGGGCCAGGCTGGATTTAGGCCTATGTCACTACATACATTATTATTAATATATATGACATATAATATATGTATAAAATGTATGTTATAATTTATATAAATACTAAATATTATATATGATATATTATGTGTCATTTTATAATTTATATGTATAAAAATAGAGTGAGTGAACTCAAAGGTGGTATTTGGTTTGGTCAAGGAACAACAGTGATGGATGTTGTGGGAGCTCTCCAAAGCATCCGCTGGCCCTCCTTGGAAAAGAAAATGAAAAAGAAAAACTTCCCTATGCACAGTAAAGGGAAAAGTAGGCTTTTTGAGATGGAGGCAGGTTATCTTTGGTAGTGATGGTATTTTATCTTCCTGATTTCTTTTGGTTGCCTTTTTGGTTCTAGAGGTTTAGTTCATCCATGCTTCTCGTTTTCCTGCATTCTATTGGGGTTTGGTAGGAGTTTGCATTGCATGTTGCTATATGGCATCCTATGATAGCCATCTTAGTTCCTGCACTCTATTGTTTGTTTAGCCACCTTAGTTCCCTTTTTTCTTTTTTTTTTATGTAAAATAAAATTTCATTAAAGAAAAGAAGATAAAATACAGTCTAACTGGTGACAAAGCATCACCTGCATACAAACATCATAAAAACTACTAGAATACAATTCAAAATAAATTTCCAAGTTACAATGTTGAAATCCCAGCAACTTGACTAAATTCTGATGATATCAGCAACTTGACCCCAAAATTTGTCTTGAAAAATTCTTCTATTTCTTTCCTTCCATATGTTCCAACATATTGCAAACGGTAAACAATCTCCACATAAAAACCAGTAATCTTGTATGAGAATAACAGATAACTAGCATTTTTCTCCTGCTCTTTGCAAAGAAAATGCATGTTAGTCATAGCCCCTAGATTTCAAATGGTCCACAGTCAATATTCTGTCCATGTTCACAAGCCAAGCAAAAGCTTCATCGCTAGGTGGAACCAGATTTTCTCATATACCATCCATTTGATTGATTTGAATCTGATTTATCTCTGCTAAGAGCCATGTAGCAGGACTTCACAGAAAATTTCCCATTTGAACACTCTTTCCACCTCAATCCATCCTTTGACTGAACTGAGATTTTTACACCCCTCTAGTTTCTCCAACAATGTTATGCATTCATCAACTTCTCTATCCAGCAGCAGCCTTCTGAACTTTGGGCACCAATCAGCTGTTCACCCCTTCGTTCGTAACATTGACTTATAGATACTTAAGGCTCAGACAACCTATACAGCCTTGGACGTAGATCACTCAACTATCCTATCCCGCACCAGTCATCCTACCAAAACCTGATTCTTTCTCCATCTCTTTTTTCCTTGTTCCATTGTTGTGTGTGATTTGTCTGTTTTCTTATTGACAAGTGAGTGTAGCTCTTTGGACCTCTGGAGCCTCCATTTTGTTTTCTTTTTGGTTCTTTTGGCCCTTGTATGTTGCTTGACTTCTCTTCCTATTTGTATGTACTGGACCCAAGGTTGATCCCCGGCTCTCAGCCTCCAATAGGAAGCTATTGTTCCATCTCCACTTTGTGGTTCTTATTATTTTGCCTTGTTTAATTGCATTTGCACTAATGAAAAATGATATGCTTATCATAATCTTTTTTTATTGGAAACAGTAACTTCATTAAAGAGATATAATGTACAACTGTCAACACCCTACTGTAGGGTGTTTATTATAATCTTGTTTCTGTTCACCTCCTCTTTATCTCTTTAATGTTCCTGTATTCTGTTTTTTCATCTCTAATGAAAAATTTGGCCTGCAGGTATGCCAGTTCGAACAACTAATAGGCCTGTCTCACAATTGCTTGGAGCTAATGGTCGTGATGATGGCCCAACTGTGAGTATATATTTACCATTATTTTCTAATTGTGTGCCAATATTCCAGTTGCAAAGCTATCTCTTGTATTAGGTTCTCAAATTCTTTGCTTTGTTGTCAGATCAAAACTTTTACCAGGGAAGGGTTAAATAAGATTTCTTTATCAGGATGTGATGCTCGCATTTTTTGTCTGGGGGTCAGAATTGTAAAGCGTCGCACAATTCAACAGGTATTCTTAATTTTTCGTTCTTTTTTTTTTTTTTTTGTTCTGTTCCCCTTTTTTCCCTCTCTATTGTAAGTTTTATTTTCAGTGCCAAATTGTGTATGCATGTATATATGGGACCAGATTTTGCTAGTTTGGTTCTTTATTTGCTTTCCTAATAAACCATGTAATGAAATCTAACATGAAGATTTTCTTTATTCAAAATGATTCCTCTCTTAGTATATTTTAAATAAAAATTTGACAATTTTGGATAGCTATTAATAGTCAAATGAAATTCTTACACAAGCCCTTTTTTGAGGTCACATACATGAACCTTGTTTCACCATCATTAAATTATGGGTGTTTAAATCATTTCGTAATACCACTCAAGTCCTTTTTTTGGTATGCTCTAGCTCTTCTAGCCCCATCAACTTGTAACAAATCATTTCTTCTAATGGGTGCTGTACATTGTTGTCAAGGTGACAAGGTGCCCTTGGAGGCTAGTGTTGCCTAATCGCGAAGTAGTTTTTTACATTGTGTTATAAAATACTTCCATGTTCTTAGTTTTTTTAGATTATAGCTATAACATAGACATTATTAAAGTAAAATATTCATTTTGTTTGTTATATACTAATTTCCCTTTTATTATTTTCTTATTTGTTAGGGTTTAATCAACACAAACATTGCTAAATGCTCTATTTTCATCTTTTCCTATAACAAAATAGGGGTTCAGCTCCCATATTTTTTGAATTTTCTTTTCTTTCTTCTTTTTCTTATGAATATGTTGATTTTCTATACTTTAATGTGAAGTTTATACTTTTCTTATGAAAATTATGGATAATTATTCAGGAAATGTGATTATGGAGTCTAGGGAACTACCCTAGGATATATTTTTTTGCTTAAAAAAATCCATCACCTAGGCGACGCCTAAGCAACTAGGCAACAATGCACTCCCTTGTTGCTGAGCGTCGCCTTGGTGCCTTCAAGACTATGGTGTTGTATGGTCTTCTATGCATGTAACTAAGCCATCTTAGTCTACTTTCTCTCAGTTTATCACCTATTGGAGCTATTCCTAGGTTCCTTTGTAGGACTTCATTTTTTACCCTTTTCTTCTTAGTTTTATCACTCATCCATCAAAGCATTTACATTTCTGCTACATTGATTTTTTTGGATGACTTCATTTTTCACCTATTGGAGCTATTCCAACTTTGCTTCTGACAACATAGCTGGCCTTACTACTGTTTTATAGAATTTTCCTTTTAACTGAAGTTGTATTTACTTATCAAAAAAGACATTGGAATCCCTGCCCCCCATTTTGCCCATACTGCTCTAATTCTATTAGTAAAATCCTTCTCATTCTTTGTGGTTTATTCAATCTTTTTATTGCCTAATAAAGTGTCTTGTTACATATAAAAAAACCAGAAAACTAATGGATTTGATGGGAACAGGATCATATCAAGGTAAATGATTTTGATGTCTACGTACATTTAAATTGAAAGCACTGCCTTCATTTAATTTAGAATGGAGTTCTTGTTATAACAATATATAAGATTTTAAAATACTATGGAATATTTTAAGATATGTTTGAATAATATTTCATGTCATTATCAATGGAAATCTTCGGAAATGTGTAGGCATTTTAAAACCAAGCTTAAAGCATCTCCATCTATAATAGTATTTTAAAACAAGAAGCATAACTAAATTGTAAGGGGTTCCTAGAACTTGAAGTGCAGGAGGAACCATGTCCATAAAAAATTTAAAATGATAGAAACCAAGCTTAATGCATAGAAAATAGGGGTGATCATGGGCTGGGCTGGGCTTAGCACCTGTGCTAAGGGCATAGCCTAGGCCTAATCATGGCCCAGGTTCCAGGATTATTTTTTATGTATTTTTAATATTTTAATATTTTATATTATATTATAAAATTTGTATCAAATTTATTTTGTACTTTACTTAATATAAAATATAAAATATAAAATAAAATAACATATATAAATATGTATAAATAATGTGTGTGCAGGCTGGGCCAGGCTGAAAATGATCACCCCTAATAAAAATGCAAATCTTAATTCCAAAAGCAATAAATCGGCAAAGATATAGCTCAAGTGGTTGGACTTTAGAGCATCATGTTATTAACACAAAGGTTTTAGCCTTGTAAGTTCAATTAACAATGAAGTGCATCATGTATTAATGATCAATTTTAAGGCTGGGTTCATGAGGTGCACTGCACAAGTATTCTATTTCAACTGCAACAAATAAGCCTTTTGTGTATTTCTTATTGTTTAAATATATTTTTTGTGATTCATTCATCAAAAAAATATACATCTTTTGTGATTTCTCTGACTGAAGTTAGTAACTGATTCCTTTTAGTCCTCAAGTCTGATGAAATGAATTAAAGATTCTATTTCTTATCAGTAATCCTGAACACTATGAAATGATGGCATTTAATTAACAAAGTGCAACCCCATGACTGGAATACAAATTGGAACATGAGCTTTGTGCTTTCCATTAGTTCATTTTTTGCTTGTCAGTATCATACAGTGATTGCTTTTCTTTTTCACCTCGTAGAGCAAGTGCCAATGCCAGCATATTGTTTATTTCTTCTGAGCATCCTTTGCTACCTTTTGCTTGAGGCTTCATCTCATTATATACAATTATCTGTTGTTAAATTTGTTACATGTATCTTGAATGTGTACATAAACTTGCCACTTAGGTCCTGAACATGATTCCAAAAGAAACAGATGGTGAGCGTTTTGAAGATGCTCTTGCACGTGTCTGCCGCTGTGTTGGTGGTGGAAATGCTACTGAAAATGCAGACAGTGACAGTGACATTGAAGTTGTTGCAGATTCTATTACTGTGAATCTCCGCTGCCCAGTAAGTATGCATACATACATATTCATAATTAATGTAAAATGTACATAAATTATGTGCATGGCAGGACTTATAATCAGAAGGAATTTATGCATAATTCATGAAAATTGAAACGTCCATAAAGGTGAACTGAGGGAAACACAACATCACTTTACTAACCAAATACAAGCATTAAGAAAAATACACAGTAGTCCTAACCATACCCCAAGGTATGGTGCCCCTTTGCAGGTTTTTTTCTTTTTTTGTTTTACATCCCCTTCCCATGCAATAGCATCTAATGATTTGTTTGGTAGATCTGGGAACCCACCTGGACAAGCTGTTGAACAATGATGAGAATACAATCAATCAAAATAAAAAAAAGGGGGAAATTCCCGATAGGTACCCTATACTTTAGGCCGAGTGCCAATTTAGTACCCGAACTTTGAAATGCGACAATCTAGTACCTGCTGTTAACCAACTGTTCAGTGTCATGGGAAAAGACACAAATGCCCTTCAAGTGTTATCTAATTTTCTTTATCAACCATCTGTTAATAGGTAATCCCAGGTGTTCCATTACTGGTTGACAAAGCAACAACTGTGTAACAAATGCCCTTCAACTTAATCGCATCTCAGCATTCATCAATCTTCGAAGGGAAAACCGGGGGTCCTCCGTTAATAGAAAAGTGGATTGAAAATCACAATCCAAATCTCTGTTTCATTGCTCAAAATCACTTTTTTCTACATACTTTCATTCGTCCCACATACAAATGAAAATTCTTTACAGACCATAGATGGGAGGGACGACACAGGAAAGCCCCAAACATAGACAAAGCACACAACAAACACAGACTCTCAACCGATAACCAACTCCATCATTTTGTGCTTCTGAAATGCTTTAACCAGAGATTTCAATGGCCTTCACCTCAGATTTCTTTTCCTCCTGCTTGGGGAGTGTTACAGTCAGCACTCTGTTCTCAATGGATGCCTTCACCCGATCCAACTTTGTGTTTTCTAGCAATCTGAATCGCCTCAAGAACTTGCCACCGCTCCTCTCCACCCAGTGCCATTTGTTGCTCTTTTCTTCGTTCTCCCTGCTCCTCTCCCCACTTATCTGCAGGACCCTTCCCTCCTCTACTTCCACCTTCACTTCTTCCTTCTTTAGCCCAGGAAGTTCAGCCTTGAATACATGTGCTTTTGGGGTTTCCTTCCAATTGATGTGGGCATTGACGAAGGCAGAGGTTTCCCGAGCTAAATCGGGCGCAGAGCTGATGGTTGTGCTGAAAGGGAAGCCCTCGAAACGGTCCCAAATATCCAGAGAAAATGGGTTGAAGATGTTGCTTCGTTGTCCGCCGAAGATGCTAGGAATGATAGACAGTGTGGCTTTCAGAGTAGAAACAGTAGACCCACCAAATTTGTGCTGTTGTCAATTTGTGCTTGGGTTTTCGTCATGAAATGATGGTTTGGACTGTTGAGAGCTTGGGCTGTTTCATTTTCTTGAGAAAGAAGATGATGAACAGTGTCTTTTATTTTCAAGGGTAATTTTGACATTTTCAAATGTCTTAAATTGCACATGAGGTCACGTGATATACATAACTGATGGTCCACTAACAGTAGGTACTAGATTGTTGCATTTCAAAAGTTTGGGTACTAAATTGGCACTCGAGCCAAAGTACAGGGTACCTATAGGGAATTTTCCCTAAAAAAAAAAAAGAAAAAAGAAAAAACCTTGATGGCAATACCTTGGGTTGTCTAATATTATATCTGAGGGACTTGATTTCCTATTTTACCAAACCACCACTTGACTGCAAGGTGCCAACTGGCTAGTTGGCAATTAAAGTGAATAGGAAAAGATATGGGGGATCTCCTTGTCTTAAACCTCTCAGGGCTGGAAAGTGGTGTGCAACTATTCCATTCACCAAAATTGAACAATTGCAAATCCTAACACATCTCATGATCCATTTGCACCATCTATCACCAAATCCACGATTTTTCATTACCACTAGTAAGAAATTCCAGTTACTCATGGTTTGTGGAACTCCTGTGAATAATGATTGATTATTCACATTCAAGGGAGAATTAAAGAGTTTTAATTCAATTCAGCCGGAAGTAGTTCCATCTGGGATGCTGAATGAGTTTGGCATCATTTGCCATTGGCTAATAGCACTGAACCTAAGAGGTCACACACATTAAGAGGCAAAACGTAGATGAAGTATGGAGGAAGGTGTGCTCAGTTGAAATCAAGTTTGCTGAGGATCTGCTTCAAGAGATCAAATCTGCATAAAAGTATGCAGTTAATTGTTTTACAATCAGGATTTTGTGCACCACCATGGGTGTGATCGTGGTTGAATCAAGATTCATGGTAGATCAAATCTGCATAAGAAATCTGTCACCAGTCATAAGTATAAGCTAGATTTAGAACCTATTAGAGAAAGGATATCAGCTTGAAGCTATCATTAGGTTTCATTTGAATAAGCAGTACTCAAGTGCCAAATGACATAATTTCCTTCAAGATGAATTTTGAGTTCTTACGAAATGCAAAGAAAAGTAGGTCCACACTGTTTCTATGCACAATCACCATAGGATCTGGCTGACCAGATTTTGAGCATTAATCCCATAAATGATCATCTCAAGGTTCCATGCTACATGGCTGTCAGTACCATCAGTACCCAATGACCTTGAGAGGATGGCCAATCCAGACTGTTTATCAGTGTTGGCCTTTTTGGACTCAATTTTATTGGTAATGTTGATTGCCCTTTTTGGTTGTTGCACCAAGCAATGGGCCCTGCTGACCATGAGCCTTACAAAACCTAAATTTTTCATACATCTTAATGCTATACTAAGAACCATAAACAAAAGCGGTTTTTTCTTTTGTAGTATCTTACCTTTTTACAAAGATGTTAAAGTTTATACAGAAAATAGACAACCAACGTAGCTGCTATCAATTTGAGGCAATACTCTTTTTGATGGAAATTAATTGTTTCATTACTGAGTATAAGCCAGTAACTACTGATTTGTTAGCCACGTACTTCTATGTTCATTATATCTAATGACAGAACAAGATATTGAATAAATTTCATATATTTAATAATTTTCATTCAGAAATAAGCATTAGTTCTTAAAATCTGTTGGTACTTAAATGTGTTATGTACGTTTCTGTTTGAATGGCAGATGAGTGGGTCAAGAATGAAGATTGCTGGCCGGTTTAAACCTTGTGCTCATATGGGCTGTTTTGACCTGGAAACTTTTGTGGAACTTAACCAACGTTCTAGGAAGGCAAGCAATTGGTCATGTTGCATAATTTGTTTCTTTTGCTTGAATGCTTTTGAATAATGTCTTTACATCTACTGCAGTGGCAATGTCCCATTTGCCTAAAGAATTACTCATTGGAGAATATCATCATTGATCCATATTTCAATCGCATTACAACTATGGTAGTACTCACTCTTGACCACTTCAATTGTATTTTATAAATGATCATGATGTCTATATATCATATTTTTGAGTTGTTTTAATTTGATTGTGTAGTTGCGGAGTTGTGGAGAAGATGTAAATGAGATTGATGTGAAGCCAGATGGCTCTTGGCGTGCAAAGAACGAAATTGAACGTAGAGATCTTGCACAATGGCACTTCCCTGATGGCTCCCTGTGTCCCACTTCTGTTAGTGAACCAAAAGAAAACATGGAAATCTCAAAACAGATAAAACAGGAAGGCATTTCAGAGGGACATACTAGTTTGAAACTCGGTATAAGAAGGAACAGCAATGGGAATTGGGAAGTTAGCAAAACAGAGGATGCGCGGAGCCCCTCTTCTGGGAATCGCTTACAAGATAAGTGTGAAAAGCACTGTCAAAAGGTAATTCCAACAAGCAGCAGTGGCACTGGAAGTTGTAAAGATGAAGATCCAAGTGTCAACCAGGATGGCGGTGGGCACTTTGACTTCTCTACCAACAATGGCAATGAGCTTGATTCAATGTCTCTGAATTTCGACCCATATCGAGTTGGTAATAGAATATCTTCTGCTCCTTCAGTGGATGCAAATGTTATTGTTCTCAGTGATTCAGAAGAAGAGGATATTTTGCGTTCCACTGAAAATGTCTATCAGAATGGTCAAGCTGATACCAGTGGAATTCCTTTTTCTGTTGCCCCTAATGGAGTTCCAAATTCATACCAAGAAGATCAAAGGGGGCCTTCATGCCTGGGTCTCTTTAATGGAAATGGTGATGACTATGGGATGTCTCTATGGCAGCTTCAATCTGGTACTCAGGTTGGCCCTGGTTTTCAACTATTTGGTACAGAGACAGATGTTGCGAATAACTTGGTCGATGTTCAGAACACCTCTGTTTCTTGTCCCACATCATTGAATGGCTATGTTTTGGCTCAAGATATGGCTATGGGTTCTGCACAAGTTCCAGATCCTTCTGCTTGTCATTCCAATGCTGACATAAATGATGGTTTGGTTGATAATCCCTTGGCATTTGGTGGGGATGATCCCTCTCTTCAAATTTTCCTTCCCACCCATCCTGCTGGCATTTCAACCCAGTCAGATCTAAGAGACCAACCTGACATGACAAATGGTATTCATACTGAGGAGTGGATTTCTCTCAGGATCGGTAGTAGTGGTGGGGGCAGTGTGGGCCATGGTGAGTCTGTAGCCACAAATGGATTGAATTCAACAAACCAATTTTCACCCAAGGACAGTAGGATGGAATCTTTAGCAAACACCGGTATGTTCCCTTTCTAATGCTGTAGCTTTGTATTACTTCTGTGCTTGGAATATGTTGCAATTGTGGGATACATGATGGTTGTACTTCTCATTTTTACACAGTTGTGATAGCAGAACTGTGCATTGACTGAAAAGACAGGAGATACTGGTTCAGAGCCTTAGAAATTAGTGGCTATGTATTAAGTTTCCTGCTGTTCTTGAATGCATGGTTTGGAACCTAACAGAATTTAGACCTTAGTGCCTAGAACTTCTGATGTAGGATTATTTCTGAGATGATTCATGGTTCAAGCCAGCCAATAGCAGGATCATGTTTCAAGAATAAGCATGGCAGGCTTTAAATTACAAGAATCGATACATAAGATTATGATAAGTTCTAGCATTGTTAAGGAAAAAGGATACCTTAACTTGAAAAGGTCAATATATACAGATGTTCATTTATTTCATTTTAAGATAACATAATGTATTCATAATTGTAAGTTATTGACTACCAAGTATAATTGTAGGCAATCATTTATTTCATTTACCTTACCTTTTTCAAAAAAAAAAAAAAAACAAAGGTGATCATAATTGTATGTTACCAAGTATACTATAAAAAATCCGATATTAATTCTTATACACATGGTTCATGCTTTATTTGAAATCACATGTGATGTATAAAATAAAGCACTAGTACTCGAGAAAACAATCAAATACTTCATACATTTTTTAACATAGGTATCTACGAGTTCTGTGGACATTCTAGAATGGCAAAATCTTTGTAACTTACGAGTTCCATCTTTTCCTATTTCCCCACTCATTAATCTAAACAATTACATCTCTGCTACCATATTGTTTGGACATGTTTCTCTACTGCTCAACAATTTGTTCCATATAACAATGTGGGCCTTGAAGGCGTTATATAAAGTTTTCCTATTAAGTTTTCTCCAGGGAAAACTTGGGCTGTTTTGAAAATGCAATCTCGGCAGGAGCCTCCTGTGCATGACACGTGGCAGAAGAATATTTGCAATCAATTTTCTTTTAGCCAAAAAGGCGAAGGGCCTGAATTAGTAGGTAACATGCCATGTGCAGGAAGCTGGAAAACAGCCCAGGCTGTTTTTCCAAATAGACAGTTTTCCTGTTGTCTTCTATCACATGAGATATGTATGTACGTACCCCTTTTCATTTTGCCCATCCTGTTCTGATTTTATAATTTTATAAGCAACATCCTCTTCACTCTTTCTCTTATTATGAATTATCAAACCAAGATAAAAAAAAAAGGGAGACATTGAGGTATCTTTTACTTAACAAAAAAGAGCATTGAGGCATCTTTTTGTTTCTAGTCATAGTTGTATGCTAATTTCCCCAACTGTTATTAAATTTATGTTAGTATTTATGCTGTTTATACCCTACTTGTTTTAAAACCTCTTGAATTCCCCAAACTGTTATTTGCATCCACAGCAAACAATATATACCATGTAATCCATGATTGGTGCAAACAATAAAGACCATTTTTGAGCATCCATCTCAAAAAAATAAAAGAAAAAAAAAAGAAAAATCTTTGCTTAATTCATCTACGAGTGCCAACAAGGGAGTGCTGAGCCTTGGTGAAGATCTATTGTAACTGAAAACACTGTTTTCTTCTCTCCCATCTGCTCTTACACTTGTTGCACTATTGCCCATCCTGTTCTTCTCTCCCAACTGTTATTTGCACTATTTTACATGTCCTTAATTGGGTTTCTTGGACTCCAGCTGCTACGCTTACAATGAGAAAGTGGCAGAAAGAAACGGGGTTCAGTAATTCTCATTTTGAATTTTTGAAGCATTTTTACTTTGGGTAACATGATCTTTTGTTTCCTTTTCACAGCCTCTTTGCTTTTGAGTATGACAGACAATAGGTCGGACAGGGCAACAACTAATAGGCAAAGATCGGATGGCCCTTTCTCTTATCCTCGCCAGCCACGATCTGTGAGGCCACGGTTAGACCTCTGTATAGACTTGGACTCAGAGTAGAGGAAGTGTTGTGCTTGCTGTGGGATCAAAGTTGCTTCTGTTATGAAATTGGAGTGGCTACCTATGGATACACTACTTGGAAGTGATTTTGATAATTGGTTCCCTTCCTGAATTTCAATGCAACTTCTGTGTGTAAAAGTCGAGATAACAAGACATCATTTTCCTCGTGATGAAAGGGAGCACACTACTGGTGGCAGTGCAATGCCAATCACTGTGCAAAAGTCAATGCAGGGATATCTGCTTCATTGAAACTCTATTGGGAACTTAAGATTCATTTTATGCTGGTGAGCCATCAGCCTCAACTTCTTTATCCTTTGTTTTAGGGTTATAATATTGTTACTACTAACAACTTTTCTCCCATCACTCGGGTTCGATACCTTTTCCTTCCCCAAATATTGAATTTTGCAGGTGCGGTGATGTTGCATCTGCAGTAAATTGTACATTTAGAGAAAGACCCCTATCAGCAGGGAACATACAAGGGACCATCCCAAAGGTGCAAGCCATTAGATACTGGGGTATGCCCCGCCTCCTATTGTAACATGTATGTAATGTCCTGTAATTCGATTCTTGCTAGATGATGGAAACAGCAGTCTGTAAATTCACGTCTCATTGAGCGGAGATCAATAGAAACAATTTGCAAAAATATTCTTGGCATTGGCTCTTTTTTGTTATTTATACCCCTTTGCTTACGAAGTTTGAAGTTTGAACTATTATTTCCCGATGACTGGCTAACAACGTGCGTTGATTTTTTTTTTTTTTTGACTCCAATGCGGCCTTTCAGAGTTTAATTTACCATATGCACGGAGTTAACATCATGATGGGCATGTTAATGATGTGCAATATTCTTGTTGATTTACTTTTCTATGAATTTATTTGGTTCATGCTAATAATGGGACCAGGAATTGAATTGTCTGCGCTGCGGCCCATGGAAATGGATTGGTCAAAAACCCTTGGTTAGAACTCCGAGTTGAGCATCGATATCTGGTATTTTTACTCGGGCCTGTGTTAATGATTTGACTTTTGAGAGATCAATACTGTAGGCCGGTATAGGACAATCCCAAATTCTCATCGTCATCTACCACGTTTCTAGCTAATGTCATGTGGTGTGGTAAAGAGGAGTAATCCAGTATCCTTTTGAAAGATTCACGCGAAGAGTCTTGTCAGTTCAGACTTCAGAGCGCGTTTATGATTTGTATTTGTCACCAAATTTCCGGTAATAAGTAATTGGGTAAATTATGCATTCCTCCCCATTTATTTCCACTGCGGATCTGCAGTTTGCCAGTTGTCACCCTGCGTAAATGCCTACGTAAACCAATCACGAGTGAACTCCCGTGGGCATGAGACTCACTGTCTGATCTGATGTGTTTATTTGTGATTTGGTTACATGGCATGGTGAACTGCAGATCCGGGCCCGCTTGCAAACGAGATTTCCTACTCACCTTTCCTACCCACTCTACCCGCCGTGAATTGAGAGATGTGTGGCTGTAATTCAGGGTGGGTAGGAAAAGTGAGTAGGAAATCTGGGTTCTTTGCTTGATGCCTATTGTTTTTTCCATTCTGTTCATTATGGTTTTCATTATGGATTGGGTGTTTGTTCTGTCAAATCAGATTGAGATATACCTTGATTCAAATTCGATCTGACCCGTTTGCATCTTAAAAGGAAACACCAAGAATGAGAAGAAATCAGTGAGGCAGAAAGTAGGTATGGCACTATCTCTTTATCAGTAGATATATACAGCCAACGAGTCCAACCATGGTGATACCTTCAAATAGCGCTTCGGAATCCTCTTTATCAGCAGCTCTATATAGCTTGAGTCTTCCAGATCCACTAAGCTATGCATTCCTTATCTGGCATCTCATAATGGGTATTCCTCTCCTATTTTTATTTTATTAACGCTGCTAAAGTACTTTCTCAGCAACCTTCCTTTGTTCAGAGTTCACAAGAAGAACAACAGAAAGTTGAGGAATGAGAAGAAGAAAAGCGAGACAAGAGGGGCAAGTTAGTCAAAAAAATTGATTCTTTTGTCCCCTCACTAATTTTGCTATTTATTTCAAAAAGTTTCTGATTTTCTCAATTCTTCAAACATCATTAATTTGTTGGTAAAAAACCCTAATTATTATGTGGTCTACTCTCAAGAGGGGGCCCACCACATTCGGTGATATGTTGGGGCCAAAGGCAAACCATCTTTGCGTGTCTAATGCAGATGTGCCCTACACAATGAGCTTCAATTTCAAATAAAAGTCGCTCTGGATTTATATTGTTCACACTTCACACCTCCCCATAAGTATGGGAATGATGGCTTAGAAAATAAAAGTTTCTTCTGTGCTTAAAAAGATGGGCAATGGCAAACTTTTGCTTTGACTTTTTTGTTTTTCTTTTCTTGATCAATGAGATACCGTGCTATACCATCTTTCGTAACCTCTGGGTCCCATTTGTCCTACTATGTACCTGTACGCGGGCCGGGCTTCCGGCTCGGCTCATTAACATATTACACTGCATAGAGTCCGAGTCCTTTCAAATTTTGGCAAAAGTTAAACTCGAGCCCAGCCCATGAATTAATTCTAAAGCTGAGTTTATATCTCCGCCCCACAAAGAGCCGCCCCACAAAGCTGAGTTTATATTCCCGTCATGTATTGGAAATATCTCTCGAGCGGCCCCTTGTGGGTGGAGATGTGATCTCTAAGCTTAGCTCTATAGACTAAAATATAAGGCCCCGTTTGGTTTGTAGTCAAAACCAGAATAAAAAAATTTTAGAATCAGAACTGGAATAGTCTGTTCTATAATTTATTTCGTTCAGATGGAAATCGAAATTGAAATCAGTTGGAAAGCCAAGGGAAAGAGAGACACTGGCCATTTTTTAAATGTGGAAATGTACCATTCCATTTAGGAATGAAAATGGGATTTTGATTCCACTCAATCAAATGGTTTAGAACAGAAAGGGCCATTCGGATTCCAAATTCAAACTCCTACTCCCGCAAACCAAACGGGCCCTAATTGCATTGTTTGATATCATATCCATTTTTTCATATAGCAAAAGGTTTAGTGTTTAGTGTTGGGACACTTGTGCAGAGCGACTGTCCAGAAAGAACAAATACATTCTAGCCTTCTTGGGATAATGACAATCTACATTTTATCTCGTTCTTTTCTTCCTTTCAGACGACAGGACTCGTACTGAAAAAACCACGTCAGTAACCTACTCCTCGTGTTTGTTTCTGGTGGGGTCCACCTAGAAAGCAAATTCTTACGTGGTAACGTGCTGTGACGTCAGATTGGAATCGAATGGAACGTGGATGGTCCGCTTTTGGTCTCCCAGTTTCAACGTTTACAACACGGGGCTTATTAACCACCTGATCGGAATCTAATCATCTACATCAAAAATCTATACTCACTGTTTACTGTCACTGAATCTCACGGTTTTACATTTGATCAATGACATCATGTCAATCAACTAATTACATGGGGCCTGGGCTAATAACAATAAGAGATGGCCTAGGCAAGCCCACCATAATAAAAGGAAGTAAAAGGAAGAGGATTTATTTGTTTTGTCTTTAGTGAGAGTGGGTATGACCCCAAACGATCCTGAAGGCAAATAATAACAACTGGATTACTGAACTGGATGAACTGAATGATTTATTTTTTGTCTTTTAGTAAACTAATAAATAATTAAAAAGGTCATTTATTGGAACATCCCCTATATTTTTACAGATTTATTTAAATTTATTTTATAATTTTTATTTTATTAAAATATCCCAGTCTAAAAATAATAACTTGATCACCTAAACTGAATGAAAAATGTTCAAGGGCATGGGCTCATGATTATTTATTCCAAAATCATTCCTAATATTTCTTCATTTAAAAAATAAAATTGACTAAATAGAACCAAATACAGTGGTTGTTTGTGTTTTATTAAGGACAAAAGTAATATTTTTTATTTTTACTTTCTTTTGATTAAATTTATTTAAATAGATATTAGGGTCAAAACTATCAATTGCAAACTATAGGTAATGTTTTAGTAAAATACAAATTATAAGATAGGTTTTAGTAAATTCATAAAACTATGGGGATGTTTTAATAAATGACCCAATTTAAAAAAAAAAAAAAGACATGATGATAATGAACCCTATTTCAACTTCAGCGTTCAGTCATTAATAATTTATTCACCGAAGAAAAAAAATAATAAGTTATTCAGTTCAGCTAATTCAGCTGTTACAATTCAAAGTTGCAAACAGAGGCGTGACTTCGAAAAGTAAATAAATAGCCAGGACAAACTGCAAAGAGCGACTCTGTCTGACTGATGGACCGGCCCGATTCACCCATCCGTGCAAGATAATAAATAACACCCAAAAAAAATTAATCAAGAAAAATAACACCAAAAAAAGATTAAAAAAAAACAAAAACAAAAACTGCAAAACAAAGGGGATAAATTCAGATATGCAATATGGTTACAGGGTCACAGAATGGCAGCCAAGCAAATATTGAAAGCAGGAGAGAGAGAGAGAGACTCTTCTATCTCCTATTCCTATCCTATGCGTGTGTGACTCTGAATCTCTGATGAGATTAGAGAATCGTATATGCTAAGCTTGTCAGTGCGAATTCGCAGGGCCGAAAGCTAGAAACTTTATTCGAAAACCTTGCTCTTTGGGTATTCTTCCTGATCTTCTCTCATTTTAATTTTTTAAATGCGTCTCTCTTCAAAACCCATTGCGAGCCCAGGTCGAGCAGATAAGTTCCCACCTCCATTGACGAGGTTTGGCAGAAACAATGGAGGAAACAGAAGTAGAGGGAGGGCTCGAGCCAGCCCCATGTTCGTCAGAAAGAAGAACGATGCCGTTGAAACCCAGGAACCCTCTTCGCCCAAGGTCACTTGCATGGGACAAGTTCGCGTCAGAAGATCCAAGCAAGCTGCGGCTAAGGCTGGCTTCACTAAGGCCGCAACTAGTCCCAAATGCAGCTGCCTGTGGATCCGGGAGGCTCTGTTTTGTAACCGTTCCGCTAAAAAGCCGAAACCCAGGGCATCTGGTTCAGTTTGGCGAAGATGGCTTTTGTTTATCCAATTAGGTTATCGGAAGAAGGTCGAAGTCGTCGAAAACCCCGCAAGGAGAGAACCCGAACCAGAATATACAGAAGAAGAGTCTGACTCAGAAGAAGAGGACGAAGAAGCCAAGGTATTTCTCTCTTCTTCCCCGCCGAAGAACGCTTTGCTGCTTATGAGATGTAGATCCGATCCGTACCGATCTTCCTCACTGGCTAGTCGCTTCTGGGGTTCGCCCTCTGCAGCTGAGAATGCAGAAGAAAAGACAGAGCACGGCCTGAGAGGCTCTGCCTCTGCCGAAGAAGGAGAAGAGGAGGAGGAACCCAATTTAGACAAAGGGCCCACTTGCAGAGATTCGGCTGCAGAATCAAGAATGGATCCAGAAACCGAGGAAAAGTTGGGTTTTGGAGAAGGGTTAGAAAGTTCAAGTAATGCAAGAACCAGAAGCACCACCAAGAGCGAAGAGGAAACATCGAAAACGATAGGAGGTCCAGCTCGGCCTCTGATACTAACGAGGTGTAAATCCGAGCCGGCGAGAAGATCGGGGAAGCTCGATCCAGAGAACCATTTCTGGAAGAAGAGAAGGTTGCGTCCGGGTGAGCGATTTGCACCGCAAGTTTGAAACTGATTTTATTTTCTATCTTGTCTACTTCTCTGCTTTTGTCACTAAATCGAACATCTCCTCTCCCTGTCTCTCTCACTCTTCTCTTTCCATATTTAATTTTAATTTGTTTTCTTTTTTTTTCTTGCTTTCTATATGTACGAGAGAATCTCTATGTCAACAGTAATATATAAGAATTTAGCTAAAGTTGGTCGTACACTGAAATATGGAACATGAAGCTGTTTGTGTTACAATCTCATGGGAGACTGTAATTTTTTTAATATTTCATCTTCCTCAACTATTTTTTATGATTTAATTAATCAATACCCAAAGAAACTATTTCTTTATAAGCAAGCTTCCTCTACTTCCCTTTTGACACCTGTAAACCTCTTTCATTGGAAATATAACTTTGTATGTGACTGTGCATTTCTATGTCTGTGTCTGTAAAAAAATCTCCACTGGAGTGAGAGAGTGAGACTGAGGAGTCCGGATCTTCTACCACACTGAGAGTGGTCCATTTGTTCATTTATTTCATTGGAACATCCTTGTAATACTAATAATGATTTAGGAGCTGCTATTTGCCATTTGTTAGTGGCTTAACTTAACTCTCTCACCTTTCTATTCTTTCTAGCCCAAGTCTTCTTCACATTCACAGCTTCAAGCTTGGTGTTTCTGCTTTGAAGACACCCAACAACAAGAATCACAGAAGATTTGTTCTTTCTCAGAACCATCCTTTCTCACAAAATGCATGCCATCTCTCTGAGTCTGACCATCCCTGACCTTGGCTGATGACGAATGTTCGCCTTTCAGAATACGTTCTCTTGGTCCTGCAACAAGAGCCGGTAGATATCATATCTCTGACCTCAAGCAGAACGTCCGGAAATTCTTCAGTGAATAGTGGAAAGTTCGCGGTTCAATTTCAATTGGATGGTTCTCATTCAAATGGAGACACGGGGGGGCGTAATTCGAATAATGTCGGGTGGGGACTGGGGACTGGGGACTGGGGCCCATTGCTAGAAATCTTTAGTTTTGTGGGAAAGTGCCAAATCGCCATGTCCCAAACTCAGTTGTGTCGACTCGCCCAAGTCTGAGTTTTAAGTGTAGACGAGGCGGGTCGTTCACCGAGTTTTCCTATCCTACCATGAGAATTCTTCTGCCATTAATGATGATGAGCAAGCAGATTATTTATTTTAAGGGTTTTTTCCGTCAATTCCACCTCAGAAATTGAAATCTCAAATAGACCAGTAGGACTATTTTAGGGGTTTGTTTTATTCAAAGGTAGGATTTAACGAAGGGTAGGGATTTACAACTGATCGAACATAACCGAGAGACCCATGTGATCCTGTACACCCAAAACAACTGATCAAGTGGAAGTAGGTCGATGGATTTGTCTACTGAGCCGAGCGGGCAAAGCCTGCAGAGAGAGAACAGATGATGAGAATGATGAGTTTTTTGGGTCAATTAACTGCCAGTGCCAGCGCCAGTACCAGTGGCAGCCATGTTGGCTAGCTTATAAATCATAAATGCACATAGCCAGACAATGGGCTGGCCTACCGGGCAATACCATGTGGATTTGTATGGAGGCCATTAATGAGGTTGATGATATACTGAAGTTGAACGGTGAAAGGAAAAACCCATCTTCACAGAACCGTGAATAGTGTGTTGTGTTAAATATCAAATAAATAGATAGATAGATAGAACAAAAGAAATGAAGAAGAAAGAAAGAAATGTTCATGGGTCAAAGGTTTAAACACAACCAAACGGAAGGTGGAATCGTGATGACATCGTATATGCATATATATTTTGTAGGTCATATAAATATTATATATAATATATCTTTACAAATATTAATGCACTTTCATGCAATGGACAGATGGATAGTTTTTTAAGTTTTTAAAATAAATGATCAGGTTGAAGTCTCTTAACCCATATTTTCTTCATAAGTTTCTAAATTAATGATAACAAAACAATACATATAGATAAGGGGTTTTGGATTCTACCTGGGACCTGGTCGTTTTGCTAGTCAGATGACTAAGATCTTAGTCAGCTTCCCTAAACTACCCAAGTAAGAATCTAGAGTTGTTGCATTTCTCTCCTAGTTTCCTCATCCCAGATTTATGGGAAAGCTTTTTTTTTTAATTTTGGCCAAAGAACCTTGTTGGGTGAATAAGGGAGGGTTCTAAGACATTAATGTTTTTGTTTTCATTTATTTTTGAAATTGCCATATCAGCATAAAAACAAAAACAAACTTTCCTAAATCGTGTTTTTGTTTTGAATTTAAAAACAACTGGTTTTCTTTCGAATAGAAAATACAATACATGTATTTGAGACCAAAATAATGTTTTTAAAGCAAATACTTGTGTCTTTGGAGACATGATAAAATTGAAACAAAACAAAAATTAATTTTGCAGTACAAAAATTATGTGGTGTATTGCATTATATTAAATAACCCTGTTCTTTAAACTATGAAGGATTATTTAAAACGGGAATTAAAAAATTTGTTTCAATTTTAAAAAAGAAAAATTCCCGATTAGTACATTGTACTTTGAGGCCTAGTGCCACTTGGTCCCTTAACTTTAAAATGCAACAATTCAGTACCCAAACTTTTAAAGCGTGTCAATCTAGTAGTACATGTTGTTAACCGATCCGTTAACCATGTGTTAAGTGGTATTTGAAAAGACACAAATGTCCTTCAAGTGTCATCTAATTCTCTTTATCAACCATCCAAACATTGATAATTCTTGCCTCTTCTTGAATACCCATTAAGACATGACCTCAACTTTCTTAAATAGAAGAGGCAACAATTTGGGACTGTTCATTTTTTATCAATGGTTGGATGGTTGATAAAGAGAGTTAGATCTTATATCACATTCGAAAGGTATTTGTATCTTTTTAAATGTCACTTAAAAGTTGATTAATGAACTGATTAACGCCAGGTACTAGATTAACATGTTTTGAAAGTTTTGGTACTGAATTGTAGCATTTTAAAATTCGGAGATTAAAGTGGCACTAAGCCCAAGATACAGGGTATTAAACGGGAATTTTCCCTTTTATTTTCAAACTAGTTGATCTTATTTTATTTTTATTTGGATAAATTACAAAGACCCCCCTGTACTATGGGATCTGTGACAAAGACCCCCTTGTACCGTGAGACAAAGACTCCCTTCCTTTAGCCTTTCTTCCAAATCAGTCATTGCAATATTTTTTAATCCCAATATTACCCTTCGGAGAAAAAAAATGTTCATCATCCCCGACCTCACCTCACGATACACGAACAGCAGCGGCAGTAACTGTTGCAGCGGCGACAGTCGAAATTGATACTGAGATCGGAGAAGAAACTCTTGACTTGGCCTCGTTACTCGATTCATTGGTCTCTTTTGAATCTACCTTCTGTGATGCGTTTGCTGTAATTTCTTGGTTTGTTGGGCAATGTGATTGCCTTTTCAATCCATACAGAACCTCTGCGACCTCGATCTCAATCTCCTGTATTGAAGAAGATGAGGCCTTGATAATCTTTGGAGGCTGGTGCTTAGCTCCGATAGGTTTCTGCACCATAAGTTCAAACTTTCATAGATGAATCTCCGGACACAGACATAGAAACAACAAAAGAAAACTAAATAAAAAAAAAAAGAATAAAAACTAACCATCTTCTTCCGAATAGAAGCATTGGAAGAAGAAGGCGAGATCAAAGCTGGTGAGGGTACTGGCGCACTTGGTCTTGTAGGTGAAGTTGAAGCCTGACTATGAAACTGCTCGCCGCAGCCACCTCCACCACCACCTCCGCCTCCTCCTCCTGCCCTACCACTACCACCTCCACTTAAGGTCCAACATTCAAGTGACCTTTTAGCCGAAGCTACGAAAACAAAAGATATGAAAATTTCCTGTTAATATCCCATACAGAAAGAACATAATAGAACATCAAACTTCTCGTAAGTTCCATCCTCGTCTCTTTCTCTACCTGACCGAGCTTTTCTCGGTACCAACATCTCATCAGGGACCTTCCACATCGAGGCCACCCTAACAACCTTAGCAAAGGTGGAAAGCTCTTTCGATGATGATGATGATTCGACAGAGAGGACGATGGAGGATTTGGGGGAAGCATCTGAACCGCACCGGTGTCTTCGTCCTCATCCTCCTCATCATCGTCAACGCTTTCTTCGGTACTTTCTTCTCCACCTTCCTCCCGATTACTCCCATGCATCAATCTATCTCCCCTTCTCTTGTTCCGACTCGACCGATCCCGATCTCTATCTTTCTTATTTACTCGATCTCGTAACCTCGCCGTTTCTTGCAATTCCATCGACCCATCTTCCTCTGTAAAATCAACAAAGTAAAGAAAACAACATCAAGATTAGAGGAAAAATGAACAAAATTGGTGAGAAACAGTACTAAAGACGGATCTGCGAAATCCGAACCAGGCGAATCCCTCAAACTGCTGTTCCTTTGTCTCCTTCTCAACAATCCATTCGTCGTCGCTAAGCTTCCTCTCCTTGCTTCTCTGTTTCTATACATCTCTTTCCACTTATTCTCATGAAATCAAATACAGAAGAATGTAAATCTCAGGCTGGTAGCTCGGAATATCCGAATTATCAATAATTGCAGGATTAGAGATCACCGCGTAAAACATCGGAGAAGTCGGAAGAAGCGTGTGGGAAGATTTCTCCATTGCGACCGGCCTTGGAGACGAAACGGAACGATCGTTTCCAAAGTATATTCGCTTTGCGAGCTTCAAGCCATCTTTGACAGATTTCACGAATTGTTGAGCCATTCTGATCAGACTAATGAGAAAGAAACGAAATTAAGACAAATTTTTGGAATACCTCTGGACTCTGGTTTCATTTCACGTCACCGACGCTATGTTTTTTGAATGGATGAAATCGTCATCACCAACAGGCGAGTGAGGAGTTCGGAAGTCCGTCACCGCCGAACATCTATCGCCGTTGTTCGTCTACTGTGAGATGAGGTTGGGGAAGATGAACAGTGTTTGTTATTAGAAGGGTAGTATGGGGATTAAAAAATATTGCATCGGCGGATTTGGACGGAAGACTAAGGGTCTTTGTCTTACGGTCATAATACAACGGGGGTCTTTATGTAAAATAGGAGTTTTTGTCACAGACCTCATAGTACGGGGTTCTTTATAATTTACCTTTTTTACTTTTTATCTTTTTAGAATTGGCATCTAGAAAAACAATTCACATTGAAAAACACCCCAAGTTG